AGAACATTGTCATTGTATATGACTAACCTAGGATCCCTTCATTGTTGCCTATATGCTCCTTTTACCTACCCTACCATTAATTTCTTAAATAACTCTAAACGTGTTTATCCCGAACTAATCCTCGTCAAAATTATTAAAGTTAAGAACCAAAATATGATCTAGATTTGACGAGACAAGATAAACATCTAACGTATCTTTTATTTATCTTGCATAGTCATGTCTCGTGAGTCAATATTTTGTAGATTTTGAAGAGAAATATTTAAACAGTGCATAAAAGATATATATTTTTGAATGTCTTTTTGTCTCATGTCCTGTTTGATGCAGATTTTATGTCAAAATTGATATTATTGAAGAATATATGATTAAAATTAAAGAAGAATTATGAGCCCACGTTGAAAATTATTTAATTGAAAATGAGTTTGAGAAAAGATGAATAATTGACACGTTTCTTTTCTGTTATTTTCATCGAGTCATAAGTGGTGGATTAGTACTTTTTAGATTATTAATTTGAAAAGATGAGTTTCGAGTTGAAATTCTTTAGATCCTTTAATCTTTACCCTTAAGTTAAGGCAAAGTAAAACCCATTAATATGGTTGGTTATTCACATTTCACAACCCATCTCTTCACCTAATAGTACTCTTCTGTATGTACAACTCTTGAAAGCAATAGTACAATTTCCTCAAAGGAGATTAATTCTGATTCATGACCCACATTTCATGTGACACTGTCAATCGTTGGTAGGAAAAAAGTTGAACAAAATGAACGCCCACTTATAATTTGGTTCCAAAGCAACACAAAGAAGACTCACCATTTCAAGATTACAATACAAGGGAAAGCCCATCATCATCATCATATGTATCAAATAAGTAAATTAAAACATAATTTTCCATGCTAATTGAAACCCTCAATGCATATTTAACGATTTCTTGAAAATAAAGGATTCGTTATCGTATTAGCATTTTATTTTATAAGATTCGAAAATTACTTTGAATACCTCAGTTGATTTGCGGTATTAGATCTAAGGGTGGGCAAAAGATCCGAGATTAAATAAACCGAATCATAAATTTTAAACGATTTTGGCACTCGAACTAGGAATTGATCGATTTTGGTTCGATTTCGATTATTGTACCAAAAGCCAATAATTAAGAAAGAGTACTAACCCATTTTCTTTTCGTTACATATTAAGACTAGTGCACATAGACCGATCAAACTCCACCCCGTCCCCCCTTCTATTACACCACAATAAACTCAATTCAAAAGCACACAACAAAAAGTCCTTTAAAACTCTTCAAATTTCAAACCTTAATTTTGCGTTCGAAATTTTGTTGCATTAAACGAGGCTCGTTGTTTTGAGTTTGGGTGTGCACAAATTTATTTTAAGAATTTGTGAGTGTCGGTGAACCGAACCAAATCAAATCAAACCAAAACTCATTTGGTTCCGTTATAGTTCAATTCCATTATAAAAGACAACTAATTATTGGTTCTATTTTCCATTTACTACTTTTGATAGTGTCTAATATATCTGGCTACACACGAACTTTATGTGAATGTCTAATACGTTATTTTAAATCGAAGGTAACACTATAATGAATAATTTTTTATTTTTTTTTTGCTTTTTAGATAATAATGTACAATTTGTATCCGCTCTGCTAGACAAAAACAAACCAAAAGAGCAATTTTAACGGTAAACTTAGGATGATTTTCCTCTATTGTACAAAAATACATTGACGAATTTGGCTTGTTGTACATTCCATGGTTCACATGGAGTTTGACACTCCATGTGAATTCACATGCAAATGAGCGGGAAAGTGTGTGGTGTTTAAAAACTGTCCAATCATGCTCCGACATGTGGCACAATGTCAAAGTTGATGTCAAAGTTAATGTACTTGTAGCATGATTCTATTTTCCCCCCACATCAAAAGATCAATTAAATATCGTCCCCCCAAAATTTGGCCCCAAATCTTTCCTATTTTCTCTTTTCATCCCCAGTATCTCTTTTCCAAATATACTCCCTGACGTTACCGTCACTTCTTACCGTTAACTTAACTCTCCACCATTGCCTCATAGCCGTTGCCGTCAACACCTCCGCCGTTACCGTTAGGTTCATTTTCACCACCTTCCTCAGCCCACCTCTCGACGGGTGCGCACTCCACCTTGTGACGCAATTTCCAGTCCAGCGCCTGGCAAGCTCGTGAGCAATAATTCACGGCTCCGCATGCAGAACACCGCCGAAATTCATGCCGTCTGGTCTCGGGTCGCCCGCAGCCCAAATGAGAACACAAACGGAGCCCTGGGCACGGGTTTTCGCCCCGAATTGAAAACCATTCTGATAAGAACCGGCTTGCCGGGTGAGGCTCCGGCGCAGGGATATTACATCCAAAATCACTCAACAAAGGGCATCCAGTGCCAATCAGGTGGCGGTGATGTTCAACAGGGTTCCATGTCAACCACGAGCCAGAAGCCGGAGCCGCTGATGGTGTCGCGGCTAAAACGGCGGCTAATTCACGGGCGTTGGCTTGAACGAGAAATCTGCGTCCTTCCGCTATGTTTTGCTTGACGCCGTAACCGTCTTGCAGGCAGTGGCCAAGTTCTCTCAGCGCGTCGATATGCCCCAGGAAGGCGGCGCGTGCACACAACGCTACACCGGCGCGGAGATCCTTGTCGTTCTTTGAGCCACCACTGCCGTTGAACTGGATAACGGCTAGAGAGTAAAGAGCCGGCGCGTGAGAGCTGATCGCCGCCTTCGCCATCAAAGACGCCCCGCTTCCTCGATTTTGCAAACAGTAGAATCGAATCTGTGTCCAACAATACAAAAAATTTCAGTTAATATTATGAATATTTTTTCCAATAAATGCAATCTTTCCAAAAAAAAAAAAAACCATTAAATAAAAATGCTTGTTTTATATATACCATGCCAAGAGTGTAACAGGCTTCAACATTCCCGGAATCGGCACAGAATTTGAGGAATCGGTGAGCCGACTCAGACCAGTGTTTTGCTTTCACTGCTAACATTTTCCGAGAAGCGTTGGATAAAACCAGCGAATGGAGACCTAATCCATTTAATCTTTTGCATCTGTTCGTCGAAAAATCAACCCAGTAAATTCAATGATAAACGCAAACAAATCAATGGTAAAAATCATTTCTTTATCCTAAAATAAATCGAATGATAAAAATTCATACGTTATCAAAACGTTGGTGAAATCGGTGGGGGATCCAGCGGTGGAACTGAGTTTGCACAAAATCGAAAGGACAAGATCGTCCGGCAAGGCATCGAAGAAATCACACTTTCCGGCCATCTCCGGCGAGACCTTTAATCTTTTCCGGCAACCCATTTGTTCTGTACCGAACTCTACTCTTCTCTTTACCGCTATATTATCATTCTCCCCACACATATGCAGTTTGGGATAACACAGCCCTCTCCTTGTTCTCATCCCTCAATCTATCTCTATTCTTCTATCTCCAAGTATATATCTCCAAGTAGACAGAGAAGTTGAAGCTTTATATATAAGGGAGAGAGAAGTGAAAAGAAGGAGACATTACAATAACAGCGACATAGCCGAACAAACTTAAATAAAATCAGATATACGAAATTACAATAATACCCTATCTGTTTCACTTTTGTCTTTATCCACAGAACGTGGTCAAACGCCGTTGACCAGATCCCGCCCTCCACTCACCCTACGGTCTCCAACTTAAGCACGACGTCGTTTCTTATCTATCTTAGGTTCCCACCCAACTAATTTATGTTTTTAACATGTATTTGAATTCCTCTCCAAATAGCTACCTAAAACTTGAATTGGGATTGAAATTCTGGTTGTGGTGAATCGATTCTCATCTGTATTCATCTAATTCTTTCCCATATCGGACCTAAACCCTAAACCAAAACATGCTCTACTAAATCGATTTTTATCGAGTTAATTTCTCTCGTTTGTTAAGTTTGTTCGAAGATGATTAGTTTTGTTATAAATGAGCAACGGAACAAAATATAGTAATTTCTCTATAATTTTGTTGTGAGTGAGCAACAAATTTATGTTATTATTAAAACAGAATTTAACGCAATACAATAATTTTCTCTAATTTTGTTAGGTTTGTTTTAAAAGAAGTTGATCTGAGTAACTACCTTCAGTTTGTATCGAGATAAAACTTGAATACAATATTATAACTACTCTCTAATTTTGACAGTTTGTTTTAAAAGCAGTTAATTTTGTTGTAAGTTGTAGATGAGCAACTAACTTCTGTTGTATCGATATAAAATTTGAACGCAATACAGTAATTCTCTCTAATTTTAGTTGGTTTGTTATAAAGGAGGTTAATTTTATTTTAAGTGACTAACTAACTCTAGCATGGAGATAGAATTTGAACACAGTGCACTAATTTCGGACGACCGGTTTAGAATCGGTTAATAATATTGTAAGAAGTAACTGAATTTAGTTAATTGAGTGATTAAAATTAGTAAGAAACTTAGTCATTGTTTGGCTCAATTATTTTTAAAATAAATGTTTATCTATCTTATTTTTACTACACATTCTAATATTACACGCAAATTTAAAATTTTTCCTTATTTTTTAATCACACATTCTCCATCAAAATATTATTTCTAAAGTGGAAATTAAATGAACTAAGTGTTATCAAGATATCAATTCATACTTAAGAGTTATAAGTTTTTTTATTCAAAAATCACATATAATTAAAATTTTAAATATTAATAATAATATTATAAAAATTATTTTGACATATTCACCCCACTACCATCTATCCCACGAAACCCTAATTATTTTTCAATCTCTTCTATCTCTACCTATACAGCCTCTCAAAATCTCCTCTTTCTATCTCTACACATCGGTTGAACGATACCTCGACGAGTGCCGCACAACCATTGTATGACGATGCAAGCGAGGAGCGTCTATGAGTGGTGTTGCTTCCTGTGTGAAACCAAGTAAGAGTCATCCCACCGGAGCAAGCGAGATCACCTATGGTTCATCTCGCTGACTCTTGCCTCTTGCTCCTTTGCTGATTCAGCCTCGCTGCACACTGTGGTCGAGATTTGTTGCGAGTAGTGGTCGAGATCTACAGCGCCACGATTTGGTGTGGGTTTTTTGGCTGTATTTTTAGTTGGTGGGTGAAGGCTGTCATTGTGGTGCACGTGGTGTTTGGGTGGCGTGGCTTTGTTGGATCTAGCTGTAGCAGAGGTTAAGTTGGATCTGGTGGTGGCAGTGGTGGTGGATCTTGTTGCTAGCGATGGTGATTTTAAAGTTGAATATGTTAGTTTGTTGGAGGTGGCATCGATGGTGCCGATGTTGGTTTGTTCCGGGAGGTGGTGGTGGTTCTAGCGACGATGGTAGCAGCAGTGCTACTGGAGGCGATAATGAAGCGGCGGTCACAAATTATTTTGAAAAGAAAAAAAAAAAAGGCTCAAATAGGTAGACACTATCTATTTAAGTGGGTGTTTGATGAGTATTAAAATTAATTTTTTAGTGGATTGTGATAAAAGTTTTTGAAATGAGTAATGTTATTTAGCCCCACTGGGATTACAACCTCAGTTTATGAGGCATTAAATGATAGATGAAATTAAATAAGTCATTTAATTTCACATACTTATTTAATTTCACATTTCATTTAATCTATCATTTAGAGTCACGTAGACTGAGATTACAATCTCAATGGGACTACATGGCATTACTCTTTTGAAATGTTTTGTTGAAAAGCTGTGAATATTAATTGTTTGACAAACAATGCCAAATGTTGTTTAAAGGCACTTAACAGTGACGCGTTGTTGGTGAGAGTGGGGATAGGTGTGTACTAAACAAGTTTTAGGTAGCAAATCGCGGGCTTGTCTTGGATGAGCTAACAACTGAAGGTCAAAGCTGTGATTCAGCATTAACAGAGGTTTAGTTAATCTTTGTTTTTACTAGCCATTTATATGCATAATTTGCGGTTCCTATTTTACCCTTTTGTTACGCTTTTTCAGCTGATTCCACGCACAAAACAAACAATTTCTGGTAACAAATGAATTGTCAATACATTACCTAATCAAATATGAATCCAAATTCAGTATTCTCTTGTGCTTATTTGATATTTTTTTTTAAAAAGAAATATGTGCTACACGAATCTTGATGGGGTAAGAGATAAAGTTTTGATGATCTGATGATGTAACGTTGATCTAATGATCATATAGAATAGCGTTCAAGTTCGATATATGTCTACACCTAATTGAAGGTGTCGAGTTCAGTACACTATTGCACATAGTCAATAGAAGGACTTTGATATGTCGTTGCGCATTTGCACATGCCAAGATAGTGCAAAATGTATTGCTTTGTTTAAGTACATAATCTTATAATTATAGATTCTAATAAATAATTAACTGTATAGTTAGGCCTTACGTTGACCTCGATATCCACAAGTATCGCGTGGTCAACAAATCACAATTCCTATCTCATTCATGTGTATATTACCTTCATATTTGGACAACCATGTTAGACTTCTCAAGACCATTGCTCCAGCAAAATTTGACGATTGACGAACATTTGACCGCTCAAGGAAAACAATGAATGTATATATAGGTTTAGGAGACAGAATAGACAAGAATATGGTTGTCGGGTTTGAAGAGAGAATGTCGAATTTGTTTTATGTGAATATGTGCTCACATGTCGAATTTGTGTCATATGAATATGCTGCTCGTTGTTTCATTGATAGAATTACCTTATTTTTGGAAGGCACAAATGTGAGCTTTTATATCAAAAGAAAATAAGAGATGTCCATTGAATATTTGGTACGTGACCTCATCTTGAAGCTCACAAGTCAAAAGGTGTCAATTCCAATTGTCATAGACTTGTAGCTGTCTAACACAAGCTGAAAAGCAGCCACCCTATGTTATAAAAGCAATCCGCAAAGTATACTGAAAAAATTACCTAGAATATCTACTGCTGGCCATCAAATCTGTTAGATATACAGAGTATCGTTTTATAGAATATCGTTTGACCAAGGTAATGTTTGCAAAAATTTTCATTAATAGAAGAAGTCAACCATCTCGAAAATATACTTCCGCATGAGGTGGTAAATCACTTTGAAAAATACCATTTCGAGAGTAAATGATATCATCTCAAAAGGACAACCTCGAATGAAGTGATACCACGTTGGAACGGTGGCCAATCACTTCAAATGAGGTGCCCAAACACCTCTCCCGATGTTCCCAACCATCTCGAACGAGATAGGGTGATATATGGAAATTTCGTGGCCACATTTTTGTCTTTGCTTAGCTGGTTGTCACATTACCTTCTTCTTATAAGGATGCATAACACCTTATTCATCAATAGTGTTCTTTTCGATTTCCGAGATGTAACGACCTATCTAGGGGCAGATTTAGGGGGTCGACCTACCTTTTATGTTGAAAATTCGTCCATGAAAAAAAAATTATGTATATTTATGTATATTTTTTAGTGTAATCCTAACTCCATCCATGAACTTGTCTAGTGAATAAGATCTTCTCACCTCTTCATTTGTATTTTGTAATATAAAATTACAAAAGTAATTCTTGCAGACATTGCATTAAATAGAAATTACAAGTAAAAAAAAAGATGAATTTGAAAATATTGCCGTATTAATGAAATAATTTGAACAATCAAAGAGCACGTAAACAAGTTTGCCATCAATAAATTTTTAATCAAATTCGGCTGAGTGTTTAGTTTATTTTTTCTTGGTAAAACTACCATTTGGGAATTATATTTTGACTAATTAAAGGAAATTTCGCGTGTACGCAGGATTACTTTTCAAGAAAGTAAATTTAAGTCTTTACTTTTTTTAAAAAATAGGCTTCGTTAGTATAAAACTAATTCTAGAAATCATTTTCAACGAAATAAGTAATTTAAAGGTATGTTTTAAGTTTCAATTTACTTTCATGCACAATCAAAATAGAGGCATAATAGGATGGATTAGTTGCATAATTAAGGTCAAAGCTTTCGCTTTCTAAGAGGAATGTAGAATAATCAAAAAACGTGTTTTGTTTTGTTTAAATTCTTAATTCAATATGACAGTCGCGTGTTTTACGTAAAAGCGCCGCTCCGATGTCACATCGCCGGTAAAATTAACAATTTTGGTCACGTCAAGTTGGAGACGTGCCGGGCAGTACATATAATTCTAATTGTTTTCTTCAAAGAATCATATGAAAAATATTATTTCTATTTTTTCTTTAAATTATGATATGCATCTAGTGGTCCCAAAGAATAATGACCCTTTTTTTTATGTACAACGTATTGTACGATAAAATGTATCTCGTTTAGAAATAAAACTTGGCCCCTGTTTGACACTCATTTTGTTTGAAAAATAATTTTTAGAATAGTGATTGATAGAAGATTGTGTGGTTAAAAAGTATGGAGAATTTTTGTGTTTATGTGTAATATTATTTTATTAATAGAACGTGTGGTTGAAATGGAGA